AAAAAAGAAAAAAGTTTGAAACCATATGATTGTCATTTACACCTTATTAAATACACCTTGGTTTCTTCAAAATGCTTCAAACTCGTGTAAACAGCTAAATTTCTTCAAAATTTATTGAACAAAACTTTTGAAGATTTTATTGATGCCGTGTAAATAGCCATCAAAATCGCATCTGGCAATATTGATGACTAGAAATATTTTGACAGTATGTTATGTTATTGTCAGGCGTTCTCCGGGGCATATAGATTCCCTAAAATTAGTATTGGCCTTTTCAATTAATGGGGTGACTAGTACACCATCACCTTCCAATAGAAAAGGGCGAACCCTATGCTGCTTTTGTTTTCTTCTTTTTTCATTGTTATCAGCTACATTTTCCTCCAATATTAAAAAATGCTTATGACCATGTCGTAGTCCATAGTTATTAATGCTAAACTATTTCTCAAAATAATCAAAACAGCTGTTCAAAGCCAATAATTTCAATATAAAAAATTACCAATAGTGTAAATTAGCTTCAAAACATTTTGATCAAACTTTGATCAAAATATTTTGAAATATATTGAAAGAATAATTTGATCAAATTTTTGAAACGTGTAAATATGACTTCAAAATACATTTTCAAAATGCCTTCAATCGTGTAAATGTAGCATAACACTCTTTTATACTGTACTTTTTGGTAAAGGAACAACATTTTGTAATACTTTGTACAAATTATTGTGTAAACGAACGAACATATCATCTTCAAAAAATCCAGCTAAATGATATCAGTGTAAACATTGCCAATCGACAATTGCCATCCGTCTCCATTAAGATGGAAGTACACACAAAATTCAGTGTTGGAAAGTGGACTTTTTATTTGTTTATATTTTTAGAAAATTCATTATTGTATGTTAATATTTATAAAATAAAAAAAAGAAATCCTCCTACCTCCTGGCTAGTCATTATACTGCCCTATTAAATTGTAAGTATTAAAACCTAATATTATTCAATATATTTTTGAATAAAATATCGAAATGTATTTTAGAGGCATGTTTTATAACAGTCAAGTTCTGTGGACATCTGCTTGGTAGGTGATCGTGGTTTACTTAAACTCCAAGAAATTTATATAGATGGTAGTGGACAAAATAACTCCAAAATATTCAAGAACACTTTTAAATATAAACAAACTTTAGTTGGAACAAATGTTTTTCCCCCATTGTTAAGGGTGTGAAATGCTGGAACAAGTCTAGTTTAGGGACCCCTCACAGATCGTTTTAAACTTTTTACCACATGTAGTCCTTGGGGGCCTGATTACAGCAGTATATGGGCCTCCAAAGTTCTGTTGGGACCTCATAATTTTTTAAAGTTCACCAAGGCAAAATGGGTATCATTTCAAAGCATTAGAAGCCCTGATTACAAAATTTTTAGAGCCCCAAGGACTACATGTGGTAAAAATTTCATAAGGATCCGTGAGGGGCCCTAAACTAGACTTAAGCCAAATAAACTTCCTGTCGATTTAGACAGCTAGTAAATCATGATAGAGCTCGAAATATTCCAGCTATAACTTCGAAATTTTCCACATAAATTGCTAATATTTCTGGGATGGTAATAGGAATTAAAAGTAGAATAACATTTTAATACATTTGGAAAATTCTTTCGCGTTGCAAATTTGTCCACCTGTTGGCAAATCCCAATTTATAGAATCCTATGATTTCCAATACAGATCATTTGACTATTATAAAAACAGACGAATTATTTTTTATTTATGCTCTCCAATAGGCCTCTATAAAGACCTATCGCCCCTAAAGGCTTATGGTATCTACAAAGACCTATGGTCTCTATGCAGACCAACTGGTGTTCATAATGACATACAAGACCTATGCCTCTTTGTACATGCCAATTTGTCTTCAAAGGACCTACAGACTCTATATAGACCAATTGATGTTGAATAAATACCTGTGGACTCTATGCAGACCAATTGGCATTTATATAGAACAGAGGTCTTTAAAAGACCTTAAATTGAGGATTATTATAATGATTAATATTTTCTTTCTCTCCCTCTTATTTTTAGAAGCCTTAGTTAATAAAAAAAAATCATCTAATAATGCCGCGTGCAACATCAGCCGAACGTAAGGAACAAAATCGGAGAGAAGGTTTACGCATGTCGCTACGCGAAAGACCAAAGCCTGGCGAATCGAATAACACCAACAGCAGCAGTCAAGAAATACGTCGGGCAAAACGTAAAGCGGGTGCCAATTCTCGTTGCCTGTACGATGAATATGGACGAATTCGTCACAACGGCAAAGATGTTTGCGATTGCTTGGATGACGAATGTCCTGGCTGTTGGTATGAATGTGAAAATTGTGGTTCAACCAAGTGTGGTGTCCAGTGCAGGGTACATCGTAAATTCTATTATGAATCGATAAAATTTGATGGAAAAGATGGAGTGGTCAATAATAAGGATTTTCCCATACGTAAATAATTTGTTGAAATATTAATGCAAAGATTTATTTATATACCTATATACACATATTTTTTATAAACATAATTTATAGATAGGATAATAATTAATTAAAAAATATTAAGTAAAATGTTCTAGAAAAATTATTAAATTATTGTTAAAATGGTGTTGGTTTTTTTAATTGTAATAAATTATAAAAAAACTAGTCGAAGATTTAAATAAAGTTATAGAACGTTATTGTAAAGCTAATATGCCAATAAATTAAAATAATAATAAAAATTGGATGTTTCTAAGTTAATAATATAATACAATTGAAATTTATGAACAATATGTCGAATAGTAAACTAGTTAGGTCTGTAGTGCAATTCTGTAATTATTTTTTGTATTACTTAGCTAGCGTGCGACAGAACTTTCGTTCCATAAGCCGAGCTTAAAAAAGATTTCCAGGCGCGTCGGTCCTTTGCGCAGTTTTTTCAGTTTGAAAGATCATATTCAGCAATGTTGTCTTTCACTTGGTCTTTCCATCTTAATCGTGGCCTTCCACTTCGGCGTGAAATTTTTTGGTATTATCGGTAAACCGCAAAAGTTTTAGATTAGACCAAAGTCTGAATTCCTAACGAAATTCGGTAAATGATTTGGTGTCTCAATGCCCAGTAAATATTTGTGTTTGTCCGAAAAAAAGGTTCCAGTAAAATATTTTAAATATGAATGTATAACATTAGATTTTCCGTGTTACTTTTTCAGTAACAAGATCTATTATTATTATTAATATGGTCATCTAGGTAGCAATCGGAAAACAGATGTTTTCTTCAAGTCTATTGTAAAAATTTGAACTTAGTTTACGTTTTTATTATAGAAGTCAATTCACAATAATGGATTTTAACAGCAAACTTAAGAGTACCTGATATCCAGGTGGTATCCCTGGGCGACCTCAATACCTATTAACTAAAGTCAGCTGTTTTTTCTCAAGTCTAATGTCAAAAATTTGGCCTTCGTTTAGGTTTCCATAATGGAAGTCAATTCACAATAATGGATTTTGACAGCAAACTTGAGTGGAAGCTGAAATCCAGGTGATCTCTCTGTATGACCTTATTTATAGGCTTTGGGTCACCCATCAAGCGAAAGTCAGCTGTTTTTCCTCAAGTCTAATGTCAAAAATTTGGACTTCTGGTCTCCCTGGACGACTTTATTTATAGGCCTTGAATAAGGTCATCCAGGCCTTTAATAAGGTCATCCAGGCCTTGAATAAGGTCATCCAGGCCTTGAATAAGGTCATTTATGATCCGAATGATATGAAATTAGGCACAGCTGATTTATTTGACCCATGAACGAACCTAATTGAAATTGGAAAAAATTAATTCAGATTTAGATATAGCTCCTATATATTCGTCCGATTTAAATATTTATATATCTTTAGATTTTCATGAAATCTGGCATAGCATACTAAATTGAGCCTAGAATGCTGTGTGTTAAGTTTTGTGAAAATCAGTTCAGATTTAGATATAGCTCCCATATATATTTTCGTCGGATTTTATGTCAATGGCGCACCAAAGCCCCCATTTTCATTCGATTTGCACGAAATTTGGCATAATGTACTGAATTAAGATTGAAATGATGTGTGCTAATGTTCGTGCTCCCATATATATTTTCGTCGGATTTTATGTTAATGGCGCACCAAAGCCCCCATTTTTCATTCGATTTGCACGAAATTTGGCATAATGTACTGAATTAAGATTGAAATGATGTGTGCTAATGTTCGTGCTCCAAAGTCTCTTTATATCTTTCAATTTTCCAGAAATTTCGCATAGTGTTCTGAATTGAGTCTGAAATGATGTGTGCTTAGGTCGGTGAAAATCGGTTTGGATTTAGATATAGCCCCCTATATATATTTACGTCCGATTTTATGACGTAAATAATGACGCACCAAAGTCCCTTTATTTATTCGATTTGCAAGAAATTTGGAATAGTATACTGAATTGGGTCTAGAATGATAGGGTAAAATATTTTTAATGAACTTATTCTAAATTCTTCCTAAATCGTACCAGAAAGAGCGCCATTTACCACGATAATACAACAGTATGTTTATTTAGAGGATTTGCTTAATGTTTTTATATACATACATATATTTCCGAAAAAAATTTTATGACCAACCCTAACATTAAATTTCAGCCATTGACAATTTATTTTCTATAACAATAATGTTGTTTTTGTAATATATTACAAAAACAACATTGTTGTCATAGAAAAAAAAGTACACCTTGTTTAATTACTTTCAAGGCAAATATGTATCACCACCAACACTGATGACCTTTAACATCAATAATTGATGGAAATACAAATACGAATCTGATCTGATAAGTTAACAAATAGTTTCCCAGCAGCAATCTTACACCAATACGCCCTGACATGCGATTAACGAAGTCTAAATCTCAATATTTACATGCAAGTTGCAATCAGTTTTTAACTGAACGCCAAAGCAGATAGCTGATGATTTTAATCAATTGCGCTAATTCGAATGTGTATATATAGAGAGAGGTCATAATTTACAAAACTGCCAAATAAAATGTTTCTGTTTTTATTATTTGTATCAAGCGTCGCTGCATTTGCACTTGTATTGTTTCTATTAAAATTAAATCGTGATTATGCTATAACCTCATTTGTAAGAAAAATTAAAACAATCGATGGATCACCCGTGGAAGAGACGTTCTCCATAGTTGGTGGATTTTGGGGTAGTAATTTTGATTTTCTGTCAATAACATTGGGTGAGTGAGTGTGTGTGTGATGATGTTTAATATTGTATTTGATTTTAATTTTTTTTAATTTTCTTTTTTTTTTGTAGAACAATTGTTTTATTATTCTCGCAACTATGCCAAAGCATTTAAACGTAGCTATATCATCTACTTCCTATTGAATCCTGTTCTCAATGTCATCGATGCCAAAGATGCTGAATTGGTTTTGAATGATCCTCACATCCTGACAAAGGGTTATTTTTATACATTCCTACATCCATTTTTAAAAACGGGTCTTTTAACGAGTACAGGTAAGATGTGAATTTTTACAAATTGTGTTGTTATTGTACTAATTGTACAATTATGAATAATTATAAAAACTATTAGAAACAATCTATCAGGAATTAAAAAAAATAATAATAACAAGAACGATATGCTAATTATTAACTAACTGCTGGTTGAATGACATTTTAATTGCCTGTCAGTGTTGAGTTCATGTTGGGGTTGATAATAGGCGTCGATTTTGTAATAAATATTATTTCCGTGATCAACAAGGCGTGAATTTTTTAATAAATATTTTTTCCAAGTAGCCACAAGGCGTGGATTTTTTAATAAATATTTTTTTCCAAGTAGCCACAAGGCGTGAATTTTTTAATAAATATTTTTTCCAAGTAGCCACAAGGCCTGGAGTTGTTAAAAAATATTTTTCCAAGTAGCCACAAGGCGTGAATTTTTTAATAAATATTTTTTCCAAGTAGCCACAAGGCGTGGATTTTTTAATGAATATGTTTTCCAAGTAGCCAGAAGGCGTGGATTTCTTTAATAAATATTTTTTTCCAAGTAGCCACAAGGCGTGGATTTTTTTAATAAATATTTTTTCAATTAGCCACAAGGCCTGGAGTTGTTAAAAATGTTTTTCAGGGATAAATAAGGCGTGGATTTTTTAATTTTCCACCATAGTATGGAGCATATTTAAATTTTGTCAATCCGTTTGTAACTCATCGAAATATTCATTTCCGACCCTATAAAGTATATATATTCGTGATCAGGTTAAAATTCTAAGACGATCTAGCCATGTCCGTCCGTCTGTTGTAATCACGCTATCTTCTGAAGGAATTTAGATAGATTTTGCATAGAGTCGCCTTATGTCTGCAGGCAAGTTAAGTTCGAAGAAGGGCTATATCGTTCTACGTTTAGCCATAGCGCCTATATAAGGGTACCTCCCAATTTTCGATCGCGCTTTTCAACCGAATTCGCTGAAATTTGGTACATTGGGTTCTTTTTTGGTACCAAATGTCTCCACTAAAAATTATAAATATAGGTCCACTTTTTCTGGTAGCCCCCATATAAAGGTACCCCCTAATTTACGGTATTTTGGAGGTTTTAAGCGCGTTTTTAAACCGAATTCGCTGAAATTTGGTACAATGAGTTTTTATTGGATACCAAATTTCTCCACCAAAATAAATATAGGTCCATTTTTTCGCGTAGCCCCCATATAAGGGCAGCCCCAATTTTCGATATTTTGGGGTTCTTGAGCGCGCATTTCAACCGAATTCGCTGAAATTTGGTATATTGGTTTCTTTTTGGGTACCAAATGTCTCCACTAAAAATTATAAATATCGGTTCACTTTTTCTGGTAGCCCCCATAAAACGGTTACCCCCCACCCCCATTGACGGTATTTTGGGGAGGGTTTTAAGCGCGTTTTTAAACAGAATTCGATGAAATGTGGAACAATGGGTTTTTATTGGATACCAAATTTCTCCACCAAAAATTATAAAGATAGGTCCATTTTTCCGGGTAGCCCCCATATAAGGGCAGCCCCAATTTTCGGTATTTTAGGGTTCTTGAGCGCGTTTTTCAACCGAATTCGCTGAAATTTGGTATATTGGTTTCTTTTTGGGTGCCAAATGTCTCCACTAAAAATTATAAATATCGGTTCGCTTTTTCTGGTAGCCCCCATATAACGGTACCCCCAATTCACGTTATTTTGGGGGATTTTCTAAGCGCGTTTTTAAACCGAATTCGCTGAAATTTTTTACAAATGGTTCTTATTGGGTACCAAATTTTTTCATTAAAAAAAATATAAATATAGGCTCATTTTTTCGGATAACCCCCATATAAGACATCCTCAGTTTTTGGTATTTTGGGGTTGTTGAGCGCGTTTATCAACCTATAACTATAACCCCAAAATATTCTAATTCCTACAGTATGTAATCTAAATTGTAGAAGTTTGAGGATTGTATATTCTACCATGCAATATGAGTAATCTGTCCACGCTTTGGGGTTTTCATTACAAATTGCTGAAAATTTGTATTTGGTGTACACAATGGTTTACACAAAACCGGTTTGTAAAATTATCGGTATAGGTTCACCTTTTGGTATGTTCCCTATATTATCATTTCAAGTATCTGTCAGTATACCTATGGTGGAGGGTATCAAAAGTTCGGCCCGGCCAAACTTAACGCTTTTTCACTTGTTTAATTTAATAATATATTTTTTACCCTATTTCAGACAAAAAGTGGCACAATCGAAGACGTTTACTTACTCCCGCCTTTCACTTTAATATTCTGGAACAATTTATGTATACCTTCAAGTAAGTGCCCAAATAAATTTTTTAAATAAAATAAAAATTTTATGAAATAATTTAAACTTGTTTCCCACTCAGATCGGAATCCTTGAAATTCATTAAAACTTTAAATGGTTTAGTGGAAAATAAAAATTCCAATGGGATCATATCGTTAAATGAATTAATTCCACGCATAACTCTCAACAATGTTTGTGGTAAGGGAGAGAGAGAGAAAAATTGTTTTCGATTGAAATTCCAAATAACATAGCTTCTTTGCCTTTTAGAAACCGCATTGGGTGTTTGCCTGGATGATCGTTTGGATGGCGATGAATATCGCCAGCTGATTAGCGAGGTGGACAAAAGTCTATTGGAGCGTATCAAAAATCCTCTCATGATTATCGATAGGATTTATTACAATTCAGCTGAGGGCCGGAAATATTTGAAATCGATAAAAACGTTGCATGCCTTCTCTAGTGGAATCATTGAAAAGAGACGTGAGCTATATAGCAGGGATGTGGTTCAGGAGGAAGATATACAAGCAAATGATCATGATGAGAATAAGTAATCAATGGTCTTCTTATTAAATAATTAAAAATTCTCTTTAAATTTCAAACATTTGTTTACCTCTTTCTAGCATTTATCGTAAACGCCGTTACGCCATGTTGGACACGTTGCTGCGAGCCGAAAAAGATGGCCTCATCGATCACGCTGGCATTTGCGAAGAGGTCGATACATTTATGTTTGAAGGATTCGATACAACATCAATGGCTCTAATATTTGTTCTTATGGCCTTGGCCTTGCATCCGGATATGCAACAAAAATGCTATGATGAAATAAACGAACACATAGCTGGTGATCATGCCACCTTGGATATGCAACAATTAAATAATTTAAAATATTTAGATTGTTTTATAAAAGAAACACAACGTATGTATCCGTCAGTGCCAATTATTGGACGTGAATGTACCGAGGATACGGTGTTTGGTGGCAAGATGCTATTTCCCAAAGGTACACAAATCCACATGCACATCATCGATATACACATGAATCCCAAATACTATGTGGATCCGGAGAAATTTGATCCGGAACGTTTTACGCCATCACAGGCGGAAAAACGTCATCCATTTGCCTTTATACCGTTTAGTGCGGGACAAAGGAATTGCATTGGTGGGTAACAACTAATTGTTATACAATTTTTTGAAAATTTCGATTTTTTTGTATATTTTTCAGGACAAAAATTCGCCCTGCTGGAAATCAAAACACTTTTGGTCTACGTTCTTAAGAATTTCATATTGGAAGCAGTAACCCGTCCCGAAGATTTTCGTTTTCAATGTGGACTTTTGATACGCACCACCACAGATATAAAAATTAAGATAAAGAAAAGGGAATAAATAAAGGAAATTAAAAGATTTATTAAAAACCCCACTACATGTGGCTACTTGATAGCAACAACCTTCCACTCGGAGACTAATGTCCATTGCGATGATAGCGAGAGAAGGAGAGCAGAGAAATGGTTGTTTTAGACATGTCAGATTTTTGACAAAGCCTAGGATATGGTTGGGGTCTATTTTAGAGAAGAAGGCTAGATTATCAATTTCATATCGTTCAAACTGTTTGTGTCTTCTGCCACATCGATGGACATCTACAGAGGATATGCTCAATTGTTTCTAGCTCTTCAGTCCAGATAGATTTTGAGATTCTGCAACCTGATTCTCTCGAACATCTGTTGCCGACCTCGCAGTAGAACAAGCGGATTTTGCCAATGAAATAGCCAATGGGTGGTTTCACAGATCTCTCAATCGGAAGATTGGACGATTGTGAGCCCCGTTGAGCAAGCTCGTCGGCTATCTCATTCCCTTCAATGTCACTATGTCCTGTAACCCAACATAAGTTAACTCGTCGTATATCGTATATCATTCAGAGCGGACTTGCAATCATGAACTGCTTTTGAGTTTATAGTACACGATATGACTATATGACTATCGACCTATATAGTCACCGGTCCTGTAATGTCGGCAGTAAGTGATTTTACTATCTCGGCCGCTTTAGTGATTGCAAGGATTTCTGCTTGAAAAACGCTGCAAAGATTGTTAAGTTTATACGAGTTGTAGATTTCTAATTCCCTAGAGTGAACGCCTGCACCAGTGCCTTCTTCCATCTTTGACCCGTCAGTGAAAAATTACAGACCTGGCAGAGGTAAGGAGCCACTAGTCCAGGATAGTAGGGAATCCTGGACTTTAATGACATCAAACTCTACTTTAATGCCATTAAAGTCTCTGTGACAGGGAACATTGTCACTAATATGAATATTTCCCCTTAAGAAGTCACAACCTGGCGTTATGTTTAGGATACTAGCGTGACCATAGTTCAGCAAATTCCAGGCATCCGTTTCCCAGAGCCTCAGAGCACACCTGGCCGCCTGGAATTTAATCAGAATGTCCAGTGGTTGGAGATTCAAGATCGCATTCAAGCCTGCCTGTGGTGTACTTCTTAGCGCTCCGGTGATCAGGATTGAAGCCGATTGCTGTACTAAATTTAATTTTGTCAGCAGCATCTTTTTGTTGACTCCCTGTCACCAAACAAGGCAACCATATGTAAGAATGAGGAGTACGATCGTCACATACAGCTATGATCTCCGGTCTTAATCCCCAGCTATTACCTATGGAGTTCTTGTATGAGTAGAGTGCTAGCGGTCCTTTCATAGAGCGTTCCTCAACATTTCTATTCCACGTTAATTTGCGGTCAAGGATAGTAGCATGGTATTTTGCTTCTTCAGAAAATGTTAGGGTCACTCCTACCAGTGATGGCAGGCGGAAACTAGGAATCTTACGTTTGCTAGTGGAGTGCACCAATTCTGTCTTATAGGGGTTTACACCAAGACCTTTGGCGTATGCCCAGTTAGACAGAGTTGAAAGGGCACCCTCCAAAATATCTGTAATTGTCATAAGAAACTTACCACCAACCAGCAGAACTACATCATCGGCATAGGCTACAAAATTATCACCAGAAGCCAAAGAAAGGAGAGATAATACTCCTCCCTGTGGTGTGAATCTGTTGACAGATTTCATCGTGGAATTCTCTCCTAAGGATGAGTTGATAATTCTGCTTTCCACCATTCTATCAATCCAGTCCGTTAGAAGTGAAGGGGATACCTGAGCTTACGAGAGCAGAATGGATGGCTTTTAGCTTCACATTGTTAAAAGCTCCTTCAATGTCGAGGAATGCTGCCAAAGTGTAGCCAGAGGACTCCAAATTCTTCTCGATGCATGTAAGGCTGTATCCACTGATCTGTCTTTGATGTATGCATGCTGGGAGTTGCTATGTTTACTTTGGTCAACCTATCTAAAGTCTTGAGTAGAAAGGAAAAGAGGCTAAACTGTCTATAATCTTTTTGGAATGAATGACTCGGCTTCCCGGCTTTCGGGATGAAGGTCAGTGTTACCTCTTTCCATAGACTAGGTATGTACGATAGAAGTAGACAAGCCCTAAAAATGTCCTGAAGAGGGGCTAATACTCGTTCACTGATCTGCGTGTTGCAGCATGGCTATTTACCATCTGGACCAGGTTCTGACTTATAACCTCTCTAAAGTCTTGATCGCCCACACCAGTTTTGAGGCTAGCTTCTAGTTCTCTTCCCTTTCGAACCATATGCTGATGCGCACACTGCGCACCCTCCCTATAGTCCTTACAATCAGGAAAGTGGGTTGACGATAGAAGATCAAGATTCTCCCTGCCAGAGTTTGTCCACGTCCCATCACTTCGCTTAATACTAACTATAGATTTTGGATATTTAGATAGTACTCTTACAACCAGAAATGTGGGTTGACGATAGAAGATAAAGAGTCTCACTGCCAGAGTTTGTATCACGTTCCACCACTTCGCCTAATACTACCTATAGATTTTGGATATTTAGATAGTACTCTTACAACAAGAAATGTGGGTTGACGATAGAAGATAAAGAGTCTCACTGCTAGAGTTTGTTCACGTTCCACCACTTCGCCTAATACTACCTATAGATTTTGGATATAGATAGTACTCTGCGAAATCTTGCCGCTTCGTTGACTCACGTTTAGCCTTCTTGATTTCGCTCCTGTATCCACGAGTGGCTAAGCCTTGAAAAAATATTTATTAAAAAAATCCACGACTTGTGAATACTTGAAAAAATATAAATTTATTTAAATTCAGGCCTTCCAAAGCCTTGAAATAAAATTTGTTAAAAAAAAATAAATTCCATGCCTTGGGTGGCGTATACATATTGTCACAAATAATACGCCACCATGAACCATAATTGCAGCTATGGTTTATCAATCAGGAAACAAAATTTACCACACATTCCAGATGGTTATTAAAGTGTTGATAATGCAAAATTATATACCGCCTCATAATTAGTAATTACAATTTATAATTATAGGTTATAAAATAAATGTGTATAAAATAAATTTACCGTATTTCGAAATATTTAAAAGGGAAATTAAAAAATTAAAACTTTTAAAATATTTTAATCAGACAAAATTTACCACAAAAAAAAAGTATTATAAAATACTACATGTATGTAATAATAAAATTTGTTTTAATTTTAAAATATCCGGGTTCGAATTACTGTAGAAAAATTGCCTATAAAATACCCATCAATGCATTAACAAGAATTTAGTTCCATTTTTTCTGCTTCGAATCAACTATTAGCAAATTAAAAAAATATAATTTTGAAATATGTTACCGTTACTAGTAATAATAATATTAATATTGATTATTATATTCATTTTGAAACAATTAAATCGTAATTATGCTCTAACATCACTGACCCGACGGATACAAACCGTCGATGGAAAACCCATTGAAAATGTGGTTGATGTTGTTGGCGGCTTTTGGGGTAGTAATTTTGATTTGCTAAGAATGCATTTGAGTGGTGGGTAAATTAATAACTATGGTCAAATATCAAAAAAAAAATAATAATAATAATAAATTTAATTCTTCTTTAAAATACTAGCCCAAATTTTTGAATATTCTCGTGGCATGGCTAAAACGTTTCGACGCAGCTATGTTCAATATTTCCTTTTGACTCCGACGTATAATGTCATTGATGCCAGCGATGCTGAAATGATATTGAGCGATTCCCGCATAATGGATAAGGGATTGCTGTATCGGTTTTTGCATCCATTTTTGAAAACAGGTCTTTTGACAAGTACCGGTAAGACAGCTATAACCAATTTTAATAATAAGGGTCATAATTAAATTTTTACTACATGTTGAAATTTATATTTTTTCAATAAGGATCCAACATCCTGTACACTGTTATTTCTTTACAAGTTTTTCTTATTTCTTTTTAGGCAAAAAGTGGCATACACGACGTCGTTTGCTCACTCCAACCTTTCACTTTAACATCCTGCAACAATTTATGGAAATTTTCAAATTAGAGTCGGCGAAATTTATTGCCGATTTAAATAAGCAGTTGGAATCTGAAGATTTTAATGGTATTATTTCGTTAAATGAAATGATACCACGATTTACCTTAAATATTATATGCGGTGAGTTAATAACTTTATAAATTTTTTCAAAAAAAAAAAAATATTAAAAAATCCAGGCCTTGGAAAAAATATTTATTAAAAAATCCATGCCTTGCTAAGCCTTGAAAAATCATCCTTGATACCTGAAAGGAAATGGGAAAAAGAAAAGAGAATGGAAGAGAGGAAAAAATAGAAGGAGTTGTATGATCAATTGTTTCTAGTTCCTCTTCGTCCTCACATAGACGACAGTAACCCTCTCCGTTGGAGTCCCATTTCGAAGTGAGGGATTCAATCTTGCGGTGGCCTGTTATGATCCCCACAATGATTTTGATCTCTCTCTTATTAGGTACCAACAGCGAAGAAGTTCTTCGGGAGAAAATTCAGCCCAGGTAGCTTTTGAGATTCTGCAAACAGGTTCTCTCGAACATCTGTTGCCGTTTACCTCGCCGAAGAACAAGCGGATTTTGCCAATGAAATAGCCAATGGGTGGTTGCACAGATCTCTCAATCGGATGAGCTCGCCGGTATCTCGTTCCCTTCTATGTTGCTATGTCCTGGAACCCATCATAAATGTACTATCTATCATATATCATGCAGAGCGGACCTGCAATCAAAAGAACTTCTCTTGAGTTTATAGGGCCGCCTGACCTATCGACATATGTAGTCTCGTATTGTCTACAGTAAGTATTTTTGCTATCTCAGCAGCTTTCGTGATTGCAAGGATTTCTGTTTGAAAAACGCTATAAAGATTGTTAAGTTTATATGAGTTGTAGATTTCAAATTCCCTGCAGTAAACGCCTGCACCAGTGCCTTCTTTCATCTGTGAAAAAAGACAGACCTGACAGAGGTAAGGAACCTCTATTCCAGGATTCCCTACTAGGAAAATCTACTCTGATGTCATTAAAGTCTCTATGAGAGGGAACATAGTCACTGATGTTAGTATTTCCCCTCAAGAAATCTCATGTTGAGGATACTAGCGTGGCCATAGTACAGCGACTTCTCGGCTTCCGTTTCTCGGAGCCTCAGGGCACATCTAGCAGTCTGGAATTTAATCAGAGTTTCCAGTGGTTGGAGGTGTGCTTCTTAACGCTCAGGTAATTAGGATAGAAGCCGATCTCTGTACTGAATTCAATTTTGTCGACAGTATCTTTTATTTACCCCTTGCCACCATACAAAGCAACCATATGTCAGATTTCCTCGCGGAACTCTCTACTATGGATGAGTTGATAATTCTGCTTGCCACCATTCAATCCGTTAGAAGGGATTGGATTGACAGCTTCGTGTTGCTGAAAGCTCCCTCAATATTGAGGAACGTTGCCAAGGTTTAGCCGGTCTTCTCTATATTCTTCTCGATGCGTCGAACCACCTCATGTAAGGCTGTATCCACTAATTTGCCTTTGATATAGGCATGCTCGGAGTTACTAATTTTAATTTGGTCAATAGTATTCCTAATTTCTGAGTCTAGTAACCTTTCTAAAGTCTTGAGTAGGAATGAAGAGAGAGGTCTATAGTCCTTTGGTAGCGTATGACTCGGCTTCCCGGTTTTCGGAATGCAGGTCACTGTTACCTCATTCCATAGACTAGGTATGTACGGTAGAAGTAGACAAGCCCTAAAAATGTCTGGCAGAGAGGCTAATACTCGTTCATTTGCGTGTTGCAGCATGGCCGGTATTATACCATCTGGTCCTGAAGATTTGTAGGGTCGCCTATACCAGTTTTGGGTAGCTTATAGTGTTTTCTACCAGCTTCCCCATCTCCCTCGTTCGAACCATATGCCGATGCGCACACAGCACATCCTCATTATGTTCCTTACAACAGGGAAGTGAGTTGATGATAGAAGGTCGAAAGTCTCACTTTCAAAGTTTGCCCACGTCCCATCACTTCGCTTAATTCTACCTATTGACTTTGGATCTTTAGAGAGTAGTCTGCGACTCACTATAGTAGACCCAAGACTCACGTTAATCCTTCTCGATTTCACTCTTGTACTTACAATCTGTACTGAGTTTTGTCTAGCTGTATTATATGCTTTCCTTGCCGCCTTCCTCAAGGATGCAAGGTTTTGTGACCACCATACCTCCTAAGATCTTTTCCCAGGGTATGATAAAGGACATGAAGCCTTATAGCTCTTCAGAAAAGTGACCGTGTCATTGTTCGCAGCTTCCTCAACCATTATGAGAATTGAGGCTGCTGTTTTGGCTTTGAATTTGTGACAGTTCGTCTTCCGAGGATTCCTATAAGACTTCTGTTTACTTCTGAAGGTAGGAATCTGGAAAAATATCAGTCTATTGTCCGAGAAGGAGCATTTCTCAGATACTTCCCAGTCATAACTCCAGAGTCGTCCATTCACCTCTCAATATATTAACGAACGTTGTCCCTATTACATATTCTAAGATTATAACTAAGTATAAAATCAAAAATGGACTCACCTCTCACTTCCACTGCTTCCCCAGTGGAAGCGATGTGCGTTGGCATCACAACCGATGATAAGATCACCAGTGCTGCTAATCTCCTCCATTAGGCGTCGTACATCAACATCGGGCGGGTCAGGAGCCTCGTAGGGGATATAGACGGCAGGGCTCTTGAGTTACCCCTATTCAGCCTGACTGTCGTCATATCACCATTGCTGAGCTTGATTTAAAAAAAAAATCCACGACTTGCTAAGCTTTGAAGAAATATTTGTAAAAAATCCAGATCTTTGATAAAATTTTTTATTTAAAAATTCCTTTAAAAATTTGCAAATCATTTCCTTCCAGAAACTGCTTTGGGTGTCCGCCTAGACGACCACAAGAACGGTGATGAATATCGAGAATATTATTCCAAAATCGAAGAGCTATTAATTGAACGTCTTAAAAATCCGCTTATGTTATTTGATTGTGTATTTTTCAAATTTCAAAATGGTAAAAACTTTATAAAGTCCCTAGAAAAATTGCACTCCTTCTCCAGTGGTATTATTAAAAAACGACGTGAAATGCTGGAAGCGGAATTGAGACAACAGGAGTTTGAATTAATGGAGCCCATTGATGATGACGATGCTAAAGATAAGAAGTAAATATGTCAAAATTACATTTCTATAAAAAATATGAAACATAAATCCATTTCTCAGTATTTATGGCAAACAACGCTACGCCATGTTGGATAGCCTTTTGCTAGCCGAAAAAGAAGGCCTCATCGATCACAAGGGCATTTGTGAAGAAGTCGATACATTTATATTGGCCGGTTACGATACCATATCTATGAATTTAACATATGTTCTTCGGTGTCTTGGCCTATATCCCGATATGCAGTCAAAATGTTATGAAGAACTGCAGGAATATATTCCGGATAATATCAACGAACTGACTATGAAACAATTGAATAATCTAAAATATTTGGATTGTTTTATACGTGAAACATTACGGCTGTATCCTTCGGTGCCAACAGTGAAACGTGAATGTATTACTGATACTATACTTGGTGGAAAGTTGTTACTACCAAAACGCACACAAATAAATATACACATCTACGATATTCATAGAAATCCAAAATATTATCCCGATCCGGATGTGTTTAGGCCGGAGAGATTTATGTCTGCGGAAAAAAGACATCCTTATTCATTCATACCCTTTAGTGTGGGTCAAAGGAATTGCATTGGTAAGAGATTGGTAGAGAGATACAGATTCGAGGCTAGATTTTGTTCATAATTTAAATTTGTTTGCTTCTTTCAGGTCAAAAATTTGCCATATTGGAAATTAAAACTTTGCTGGTATATATTTTAAAGAATTTCCAATTGAAGGCGGTTTCCAACGGCGAAGAGTTGAAATTTTCCACTGGATTATTATTACGCACAACAACAGATGTGCAAATAAAAATAAGTAAACAAAATTCAAATTTCAATTAAAATTTATTATATAGGATATTGGAATATAAATAGCATCTAGTTAAGTATTATTTGTTATTATTTTAAAATTTTGAATTAATAATGAATTGTTTTTATTATTTTGGGTTTTGAATTATTTCCACACACGGGCTGTATTATTTAAATAAATACACATTTACTAAAAGAATCTTGCACCTATTTCGTCCAATTATACTTTATACTTTTAAATTGCGTCCTTCTTGTGAGCCGTCCGAAGACGAACGTATACAAATTATTTAACCTCCGCCGAGAATTGTGACAAGCACCAAGCGGCCGATTCCAATATAGGCTAACATAATCTCCCCGATTTTATGAGTTTATTTCTGGACAGATTTCCACACATAACATACAATATGTGGTCCAATCGGCGAACGGGGTTATAACTGAGCCTAAGTTTCCTTTCCGTCCCCTTTATGAATGCAGTTTTCTTGAATTTTTATTATTAAAAAAGCCTAAATTTAAAAACCATTTTTTAAATCGAAATGTAATATTGAAAATGTAAATATAAAAAATGAAATTTACAGTTAAAATCAATTGGTTTACTAAAGCCAGTATAATGTGAACGTACTATAACAGAAATACAAAATCATGAAAAAAGAATTTTAATTTAAAAAAAATCAATTATAGTATGACAGTTTTTATATTAATTTCGAACATTTTAAAAGGAAAATTCCTAAAAATCCCCTAAATGCCACCCGCACAACAGCTGATTGTTATCACTTCTCAGTGATTACAACTTCCATAGTTCCAATAAGAAAAAAGAAGAACTTCAATCTGTCACCATTTCAATGAGATTTGCAAATATTTTATTTTCAAATTCCTCCTTTTACTCTCATTCGTAACAAAAAAAATGTAGTTTTGCTTTAATCTGATCTTTATTGATGAATCTCTCCCTCTCTTCGCTCACCACTGGCAAATTAAAAACTAATTTGTTTATTTGGCATTTAAACAGAACAAAACAAGATATGAGATACAGTGACTAATTTATTAAAGTGTGGACACATCATTAAGTTTTTATCAGAAGAAGACAGAAAAACGAACAACCCCCCCGCTGCTTGGGCGCAAAACACACTACTTTCCTGGTTGGTCATTATTAGAGTAGTGAACATTGATAACAGTGACAGTGGCGAAGATGAGTTCCGCGGATAAAGAAAAGAAAGGATGGTTCTCCTCGTTGACACGACGGAAAAAATCACAATCACAGAATTCGATAAATCTGAGTGCCACTACATCGACTTTTTACGATGAAAATGAATTGCTGGATACATCAACTGCCGCCGCTGCCGCTTCATGTTCCTCTGTTATACAAAGCAATAACAACAATAATACCATTGGAGGCACTGTCGAGGAAAATGCATCTTGTGTCAATTTGGGCAGCAGCGGTAGTACAGGTGGGCGAAAACGCAAAGAGGAGAAAAATGCATTTCAACGTTTTCGCAAGAAAATGGGTCTGCGCTTCTCGTTGCGTCGACGTAAATCGTTACAGGATGGCGATGGAGCAACGACAGATGCTTCATCGGAATTTACAACAACCTCGCCAATACACGAACCATTGCAATTCAATTTTCAGCGAAATTTAACAGCCGCCGAGGATGCCGATCTGAGCACACCGTTTTCAAATGATTTCAAGCGATTTATCAAAAAGAAATGGTTGGAACGTGAAGATGGTCCAAATTGGATAATGTACGGAGCTAGTTGTGAAATGTTAAAGTAAGTATTGATAAATAGGAATTCTCCTTATCAACCAAAAGGATTTGAGAACTTTTTTGTTTTTATGTACAAAGATTTGGAAGAATTTGTGTCACATCACTGACGGTTTTTGGTCAGGGACGGAAAAGGGAAATGGCTTTGCAGTACCAATCAATTGCAATTTATATTCAAAATTTCAAAATAACTTTCTGAGTCGCATGCATGTCTGCCTGCCTGTTCATGTTAAATTGTAAACAAAGTACAGGTCGCATTTATGATCCGAATTGAGTGAAATTTGGCATAGCTCATTTATTTGAGCTATGCCAAGAACGAAACCTATTGAAATTGGTTAACATTTATGTATGTATATGCCGGTTGCCGCAATAACATGCATAACATGCTGAAGATCCTATAAAATAATACGTGACAAGTTTTGTTTAAATCGGTTGAGATTTAAATAGAGCTCCCATATATATTTTCGTCCGATTTTATGTTAATTGAAAACCAAAGCTCCTTTATTTCTTTCGATTTGCACGAAATTTAGAATAGCGTACTGTATTAAGTTTAGAATGGTGTGTGTTAAGTTTCATTAAAATCGGATCAGATTTAGATATAGCTTCCATATATATTTTCGTCCGATTTTATGATATAAAGCACCCATATATATTTTCGTACTTACATAAGTCTAGAATGATGTGTGTTATGTTTCGTGATAATCGGTTTAGTTTTAGGTATAGCTCCCATATACTTTTTCGTCCCATTTTATATAAATAGTGTACCAAAGCCCCTACATTTCTTTCAATTTGCACGAAATTTGGCATAACGTACTGAATTGAGACTGGAATAATGTGGGCTAAGTTTCATGAAAATCGGTTCAGATTTAGATATAGCTCCCATATATATTTTCGTTCGATTTTAAGTTAATTGAGCACCAAAGCCCCTTTATTTCTTTCGATTTGCACGAAATTTGGTATGGCGCATATTTTGATATAGCTCCAATATATATTCGTCCGATTTTATTTTAAATGAGACCCTATATTTTTTTCTTTCTTGTTGTGTTTAAAATTTCTTCTTTTATTTTTTGCAGTCAAGTCTGGTATTGGGGTGAAATTTCCCGACGTGATGCCCAAAAACAACTTACGGACAAACCAACTGGATCGTTCCTAGTACGTGACTCTGAGACAAGTGGTTGTCAATTTACCCTATCATTTCGCATTATAAATGTCACGCTCCACTATCGGCTGGAGTATCGCAATGACTATTGGCATTTCGAGGAGCTGCAATACGAATCGATTGTCGAGATGATCGAAGATATTCTATATCGCTGTACAAATGATAATTTTGTATGTTTTGTTAAGGTTCCAAATGAAATGCAACCACCGTTTCCAGTTATATTAAAATATCCACTAAGTCGTTATTTAAATATGCCGACACTGCAAGATCTGTGCCGTCGTGTTATACAGCGTACAACCAAATACGAGGACATTGCCAAATTGTCTATACCACCTAGTTTACAAGAATATTTAGCCGAGAAAAGAGAATTAGTATTTTAGAAAAAGAAAACTAACAACTACAACAAAAACATTACAAATGAATATTTTAAAATATAAGAAAATGAAAATAATCTCCTCTAAATTAAAAAATAACAAAAGAAATATAAATTACAAAAAACCAAAGATTTTACTATTTTATGGCCACAAAACCGATATTGCAAAAAGTCAAACTTATTTAACAATTTAAAAAAAAAACTGTTCAATCGAAATTAAAACAACAACAAAAACTAGTTATAATTTTACAACAACATCACACAATTTATTTTAGTATTATTTTAAAGTATATATATATTAAATTTTTATATTTTTAAAATTACAATGTAATAACTTTACAAACAAAAAAAGAACAAAAGTATTGTTTTATGTCACAACAACAAACAAACACACGCACACATACACACAGCTAATAACATTGTCTTCCTTATAATGTTTATTAAAAAGAAAAGAAAAAACAAAAATCTCTCGCATTATTATTGTTATTGTAACAATAACTTCCTAATTTGTTTTTTAAATGTAATTAACTGCATTTCTTTATATAAAAACTACAACAAAATAAATGCATTCTATTTTAATTACTTTGTTAAAAATAATATTTAAATTATAGCACTTTGTTATAATATTTAGATGAGAAATCGAAAAAAAGAAACAAACATGTTAGACTCTCGTTTATCATATTGATTGATTTGGCATATATATTTATGTATATGTATTATATGTCATAATATAACAATATAAATATATATATATATATATATATATATATAAATCACTTTATTTCCATCTTAACAATTTAATTGGTGTTCTATCGTGTAAAATTTAAAACTGCCTGAGTTTGTTCCTAATGCATTTAGTTGATTACAAAAATAAAAAAAACAATAAAAGATGTATATTTGTGTTTTTGAATTATAGATATGTGGGTACACATTTAAATTATGTTAACAAGGTGAGTGTATGCCTAGAATGACTCTGTAAGGCATTCTACTCCTGTAAGAATTCCAAAGAAAATAACAGGGGATTGCAACCAGTTGAGCTCCCTATACTTACCGGTGGATGGCTGATCTGGAGTCAAACACTTATTTAAAAAACACCTTTTTCCCAGAGTTTATAGATCCTAATATTCTAGCGCTTCTCGCAGCAGAATAAGATTTGTGAAACGTTTTATTTTTTTTTTAATTCTTCAAAACTTTGAGAAATTAATAAAACCGCAAATAAAACATGGCAAGCGTGTGTCGATGTGATTTAAAAAAAAACATTTAAAATTGTGATTATAAATGGTTTTATAGTCACCACATAAATCAGCGGACCATAAACCGAATTGACACACAAATAGATCTGTGAGATATTTTTTTTTTTTAATTTCTCAAAACATTGGAAGGTATAAAACCGCAAATAAAACATCGCAAACGCCACGCCGTCTGCATTTAGTATAACTGTGGTTATACGTGGTTTTATTATTTTTTATTTAGCAAATGTAGGAATTATTTAAACATGTCAATATCGACCATAATAAAAAGTTTAGTACCAGTTAGTACCTTTGTTCACTTACGTACTGTAACTGTATTTCCAAAACTACCTCCATATCTCAATACTTTATATAAATTCTGACCGCAACAGAAATCTAGCTCTATACTAAATTTGGTACCATTTATTACCCCTTGTACTCTTGTAGTACTTACTTACCAAAATCCAAATTAATGCAAAATTTCCGTAACTACTTACCTCAACAAAAAAAATAGGTATAATTTTCCCAATTTCAGTATTCTAGAGTTCACTCAAATTCAAATTGTATCAAATTTATTACCATTTAGTACACATAAGTACAAATTTCCATAACTACCTACATCATACAATCCAATACAGGGTTGCCCATATTCGAAGGACCCATTGACATACCGCGTTTGAAGCGTCAGTCCAAGCAGATTTTTACCATGAACCAATACACGCCGCGCGAGCGCTCTGAAATAGTTGAAATTTACATTCAACAGAAGAAGTCAATTGTGAAAACTCAACGTGCTTTTAAAACATTAAAAAACGTGAGAAGTGCGCCTTCTAAGAACACCATTAAGCGTTTATACGAAAAATGTTCGACTGGTAAGGCTCTTTCTAATTCGAAGAGGCCATATAAGTCGACCAAGGCAATCGGCCGAGAATATCGCTGCCGTACGAGCCAGTGTTGAGAGGTCCCCATGAACATCCCAAAAACGCCGTTATCAGCAGTTGGGCATGGCTCGGTCCACTTTACAACGGATTGTTCGCATTGATTTGCATTTGTTCCCGTACAAAATTCAATTGACGCAAAGAATGTTGCCTGCGGACAAGCCTCGTCGATTGGAATGGGCCCAAAAAGTCATTGAAATGGCCGAAGATGACGAGCAATTTTGGAACAAAATTATCATGTCCGATGAAGCCCATTTCACATTGAATGGGACCGTATTTAAGCAAAATGGCCGTTTTTACGCCACTGGAAAATGCAGCAAAAAGGGCACAATACGTCATTAACGCCAGAGGCGGCCATTTCAGTGATATCATATTCAAAAATTGATGTAAACTAATCTACTTGGAAAAATCTACTTTGATTAAAAAAAAACATGGGTCCGTCGATATCTCATTTCCCTGTAGATATCTCATTTCCCAATTTTAAGATTCCAGCTTCATTCCTACAACCTAACAGTAATCTTAATTCCGAATTTCTGAATTTTACCTCTATCGGATCACCTAATGTCATTTCACCTCTGAATCCTCGTTCGGTATTGAAGGACTCCGATTGGTCCTTTCCGACTTTAACTGCTGACTTTGTGCCACTTAAACTTGGGCTGTCGAATGCGGCTTTATTATCGACGAATAGGTGGAATGTGTCGATGAGTTTTTCGTTGGTCTTTTCCAGGATTTGACGCAGAGTGAAAATCTGGTGAATGGTGGATTTTCCAGGTCTGAAGCCGCATTGGTATGGTCCAATAATGTCAATGACCATTGGCTTCAGTCGTTCACACAGCACGCTGGATAACACTTTATATGCTATGGGACGGAGACTTATTCCTCTATAATTCGCACACATCGTCTTGTATCATTTTTTGTGTACGGGATACAGGCTGCTGAGCATGCTCCTTACCAGCAGCTGGTGCATGCTCCTTACCAGCATCTGACCACCAGTCTTGAATAGTTCGGCTGGTAACCCATCGGCACTTGCTGCCTTATTACTCTTCAGCCGATTGCTATTCTGACTTTGTATATACACTCTATACCGTCATCTCTTATTGGTTCTGGGGTATCTTTTTCACCGCCACTATTTGATACCAGAAGCTTTTCAAAGTGATCCTTCCAGATCCTCAAAACGCTGTCTGTATCTGTCACCAGGTTTCTTTCTTCTTCATCTATACAGGAAGATGTGCCTGCAACAAAGCCTTTGGTTTAGTGTATAACTCGTTGGTAAAATTTCCCTTCATTGTTCTGACTCCTGTACATCTCGGAGCTCCCGCTCACGTTTTTCTTGTTCTTTCTTATTTTTTCTGAAAATACCTTTCTCCTCTCCTATTCTCCCGATAATTCTCCATCGCATTACGTGTTGCTACTGTCTGCAGGGTTACCCTATACACTGCGTTTTTCATATCAGTAGCATTACGACACTCCTGATCGTACCACGGATTTCTTGATGGTGTTCTTGGGACCCAAGTGTTGCTTTGCTGCCGAGAAATAAGAACCAGTTTCTCAAGTAGCAGGTCGGCAGCACTTGGATCGCTGACAAAAAGATCATATTGTTCTCCTATATAATCATCTATAACGACTGACGGAAAGAAAAAAGAGAATGTGTGTTTAACCACCGACGCTAATTTACGGTAACGATATGGGTGAGCATCAGTGATCCATATCTAACTCAGGCCAAGAATGAGAAATAGGGACCACTAACACGTTGTACACTAAATATCCTGTGGATGAAGTTTATACAGATTGAAATTGTATACTGGCTAACCATTCCCCTCAGGTCTATGAGAAATAAAAAAATATTCATTTCATTTTTTTAATATGGGGTTTATTGTTATAATTTTAAAATAAATAAAAGACTGTCTAGTTTATTTTTGCATTTAAAACATGTAAACTAAATCTAAACAAATATCGGTTTAATTGTCAGTACAAAAAATATTAAAAACATATATTTATGTATATGGGCATGCAGAACACAACATTACAAAAGCGAGTGTTT